GGCCCCTAGGCCGGCGGCGAGAGGTTTGATGAAGTCATCCCGAGTTTCCTCAGCGTGAAGAGGGGAATGTGCGTGAGATACTGTCGCTTTGCTGTCGTCTTAAACGCCTGTTCGTTTTGCAGAATGTGATGCAACTGCTTTTTATTTGGGACTCCTGCCTCTGCCTCTGTTTTAATGGCGCACATCACCATAAATCAGTATTTGCAGCAAGTAAGCAAGTTTTTTTTTATTTGTGGGCACCGTGTCTTTCTCTGCTGTAAATATGTTACCTTGTTTAAGAAATCAATCTAGAATATGCTATGTGGTAGAGAAATACACTTCTTCAGTCTGTATGAAGTATACCAGCTGCGTGCTAAGGGTGAATCCCTGGAATTTCTGAAAAGTGTGGTGGTTACCGGTATAACAGATAGCGATGTAATTTATCCATAGGAACTAATGTTGTGGGATTGTGTGTGCATGCAGTAACAAATGCGGCACGGGGATTCAAGAAATACCGGGATTTAAGAAGTACAGAAGTGTGGAGGCATGGAGGATGGAGAGACAAGAGCAGGATCACAAGGATACCAGCTGGACTGAACGTTCAGTGTCAAGCTTTTAGTGTCACCACTCTTACTGCCTCTTTCTGAGTCATCGGATTTTCAGCATTGTTACCACTTTACTCGCTTCAGTCAAGTCAATTGAATGAAAGGCACAAAAAGGGAGTAATTGTTTGGGTTTTAGTCTCCAAAATGGAGTGGCTGAGTTATCTCAGGACAGTGATCTGCTCTGAAAAGTCAGCATCTTCTCCAGTTGACAGTCTATTTAATGTTTAATAAGAAAAACTACTTCCAAAACACAAAATGAGCTCTCCTTTACTTGAAAAAAAAACCCCTACTAATCTCTTCAAGAATTTAAGCAGTTGGTTTTTCCCTCTTTTGCTACTTCCTTTGCTATTTTAGTCTATGATTTTTCCTATTTAATATGAGCTTTCTGTACAGCAAAAAGATTTTTTTTTTTCCCTATCAGGACACAAAAAATATAACAAATTTCCCACAAGCACTGGAAAAGGAACTCTTAAGAAGTAATATCTAAAACTACTTCCACAACTGAAGAAATTTCCAGCTTGATGTTGCAATAAGCTGCTCAGACTATTTTTTACAAGGAGTCATCTTTAGCAGGAGCCAGAATTAAACCATTCTCCCACAGAATATAACATTTATAGTCTTGACAGGTTTTAAAAGTATTTTATACAGATTCTAGTCTAATATCAGACGTTGCCTTTGCAATGATAGCTACATGTTTAATCTATCTGTCTTCATTTTTAAGTGTTACTCAAAGATTGTTTATGCCTTCACAGATGTTTGATGCCCCTAAGTCCAATTGGAATTTTAAGAAGTGTAATTGAATCTGGTTCACAACTGCTGTTTTACAATGCTAAACCCATCTAAATTGTTTGGGGATTCTCTGGTTTGCTTGTATCCTACAAATAAGGAAAAAACCACAATAGCATTCACCCCACCTTCTCATTGATACCTTTTTGAAAAACAAGTGTATTGAAAGTCCAATATTGATTTGTTCAGTTTTAAACCTTTAAAAACTCGCATTTGGGTTGGTATTGATGTGGATGACCAGTGGCAAGAAGGAGGAGGCTTCTGTAGTCACGTGTAAATATGTTGTATGGCTGTGGCTGGATTTTATTCTGTAATGTGGTTGTTTTATTTGGTAGGTACAAGAAGCTATTGACAGCAGAGATGGACAGTTCTGTGCAGAATTGGTATCGTTTAAACATCCACATGTTGCAAACCCAAGGCTACAGGTAAGAATCTGTTTTTGACCTTTCTTTTGTTTTGCTATCAGTTTTCCTAGCTCTTATATGGGTTCTCTTCCATTGGAGATAAACCTCAGAAATCTGTTTCACAGGCCGGAGTAGGATCCCCTTGTAGGTTTGTTTCCCTTATCTTCTTACAAGGATATTACATATTTCCTTTTTTTTTTTTTTTTTCCCTGGATGGCTTTTTGTGTTCCACTTTGAATTCTTTTCTGGATAGATACAGTCTTGAAAGTCCCTTCTGGCCAGGTCTACATTAGTTGGCAGTGTGGCACAGTGGAAGTCACTATAAAGAGAAAATCAGTGGGTAGCAAGGGTCCAGTGTTTGTGCTGTATACATTTCAGATGCTTTTATTTAAGGCTAGCTTTCATCAGGTTCTGGAGACAGAATGCAAACTAGCAATTCATTACACTGGATGTGATTATTAATACAACTTAAGGTTCTGATAGATGGCAAAGGCATAAAGCTGCCATGACAAAAAAATCTGTATGATGTTCCGTTTCTGGTGCATTGGATGTTCCTTTAATGTTTCATTGATTTATTCTATACTTAGCTTCCATCTCCAGAGGAGAAGTGTCAACAAGTTTTGGAACCACCGTATGATGAAATGTTTGCAGCCCACTTAAGGTAAAGATGGACCGGAAATGTAAAGTCAGTTGTGAGGCATTTGGCAAGGATGGGGAAGGATATCCTTAAGTTTACTTAATTATTTTAAAGGGCTTACATCTGAAAACTCGGTATTTATTACTTATTAATAATGCTAGAACTGCAGGAAACAAAAAATTTTATTTCCTCTCCACGTACAGTTTGCTTTATGTACCTGGCATGTAGCCATTGACACAGCTTTGGTTTCAGTGCTTCCTGTTTCCTTTGCTCTGCATTTACTAGCTACACAAGAATTTAGAGTGAAATAAGTAAGGGAAATAAATATTTTTAAAATGGAATTTTAGTCATAAAAAATCGTCTTAAGACAGCTTTAGAACCTAAGTAATTCTGTGAGCTTTTATCTAAAACAATTTCTACAGTAGCACAGTCTTTAGTTCACTTTCAATGGTCTTGGAATTTTTTTTATCTATACTAATCTTGGCGACAGTTTCAATAAGCATTAGCATATTACAGTTGATACTGTACGTATTATATAAACAAATCCCTGTTCTTCTCTCAGATCAGTTTTCTACAATCAGCAGGCTTAGTGCTGTGTTAAAATACTTGTGCCGTTTTGTTAGGAACATTTCTAATCGTATTTCTGTGTCTCTTTTAACTAAACTGTAAAGCTCTATGCCTGTTAAAAGGCAAAAGGAATTACTTGTCTTATGTATGTGATATTTTCTGATGCACTAATGCACTTATTCTTTGACAGGTGTACTTACGCTGTTGGAAACCATGACTTTATAGAAGCATACAAATGCCAAACAGTTATTGTCCAATATCCTTTTCCATAAATCTTGTATATTGTTTTCAGATTAACTATGTGTCTTCTCGTAGAATAAGTTATCTTTACCCCTTTTAAAATTTAATAGAATGTGGTCTGCTTCCAAATAACACTTCAGCTATTTAGGTTCTTAATCAAGGAAATACAGATACACTCTTCTTTCAACTTTCTGTAGGACTAAGAAGGAATCTGTTACTTGGCTCTACAATAGAAAATTAATTTCTCACAGTGTAGAGGAGACCCTCAAATCATTAATATACTTCCCAGTTTGTACTTGGCTGGAGGGGAGGATACTGATAAAGAAAGCTGCTATCTTATCTCTAGGCGACAGATACTTCTTATGGCTACTGCCACACCAAGGAGTACATGGCCGTGCTCGCGTTCTTCCCTACTGTGTCTTTGCGTTGTGACTCCTCATCTACTCACCGCTTTCTTGGTTTCTGCCCTTTGATGTAGGGATATGTGGTACCATACAACTGGTGGGGTTTTTTTATCTGTGCTTCATTTAATAGCATTTTAAATTCTCCTAAATACAATACATCTTTCCTGCGAGCATTTCAGGCACATAAAGAGGAAAACTGGTGAGTACATCATAAAGAGCTGCTAGAAATTAGACTCTTGTCTTTCACTATCATAATACCACAGTAGTCAAACTAAAATTATGCCTATAGTTTTTATTTATCCCCAGCCATACTTAAATGCAGCCTAATTGTTTTTGCTGCCTGATTGAGTTTTTTAGATCCAAAAGTGTGAAAACTAAACATCTAAGCTTAATTATGTAGAATGGTCCATAAGTAAACGCATGAATAATGTGTTCGAGGTGAGATGGTATTTTATTAAAGCCACCATAAAAAATGTTTCGGAATTGGTTCTTCCCCCAGCATAGGATTTCTGAAATGCTGAAATCTTGAAGACCTTTCCTTTTAAAAAGTGCATTTTTCTTTCTTTAAAGATTAATCTATGCTTTTCTAGTTTTATGACCAAATAGCCAAAAAAAAAAAAAAGCTTGTTTCTCATGTCTGTCTTATTGCATGATTTGCACATACTGAGTATGCTATGTTTTACTTTGCCAGGGCTTTACCTATCATGTATGCTGTAGCCCTCGATCTTCGAATTTTTGCTAATAATGTAAGTAGATTTGCTTAACAGCGTCATTACTTTAGGAATTTCCATGGTGGAAATATTTTAGACTTTATTGCATAGCCTAATTTTGCTCAGTACTGTTTAACTCCTTGTTTAGGATTTTGTTGACACATAACTTCATCCAGTCCTGTTGAAAAACTAGATTGCTCAGTCTGTTCACCTCCCATTTGCAGCTTGAACCAGAGAGGTTCTGAGAACCTGCACGCAACTCACGGTTGCTCAGAGCATACGAGGTGATTAAGTACTGTCTTTATAGAGTAGCATGGTGGCACAACTCACTATTTCCATGTGTTATCCTCAGGATTTGGTGGAGTCTTTATGAGGATGGAGGTACCCCAGACAACTGAGCTAATCTAGCCACTTACCGTATTTGAAGAGGGGAGTTTGCTGATGAGCAAAAAAAAAAAGTACATTATTTTTCTCAGGCTAGTGAATTGTAGTAGGTTCTCTAGGGATCTAATGAGAACTGCTAGGCCAAGGTAAATGGCAGGGTCATGGTCTCGCTCCCAGTCACTTTACCTGAAGAGGTGAAGCTAGAGTTCAAGTTAGGTTAGAGTTTGACAATGTCCAGTATTTTCAGTGTTTGTCCCCTCAGCACTTTGTTGTGCCCACCTGCAAACACACGTTTGGCATGCTTGCACAGAGAATATTTTTTGTATGTGTCTGCCTGCTCTGTAACAAGTCTCAATTCTCAGTCTGAGTGAGGCAAATTCATTTATTTGAGATGCATGAGAAAGGGGAAAGTGGGATCAGTCATGGTGGACACGTTTGAACTCTGTCTTCTCACCTGAGTATATTCAAAGGATGCAGATACAGAGAAGACTTCTGCAGTAAAGGGTGCATTTCCATTTCTTTTCCTCATATTTCAGCTAGTGAGAAGGCAAGCATTATAATAAAACTTTTTAGAAAGCACGTAGTAAATATCTACTCGCTTTCCTCCCCCGCCTCGCATTTGTTGTTTCAGTTCTGCATTAATCAGTGTGTGGATCTTTCCCATGTGTTGACAACTCATTTTTTTCCTCTTGCTGCTGTAACGTATGTTTTCCATTTCTTCTGAAAATCCCAGGTCCTAGCAGTGTTACTACTAGAAGATGTTGATTATCATTTAGAAATCAAATCTAGCCCTTACGGCTGTGGAAAGAAGCTTAGTTATAAATTCCAAAACTCAAACCCCAATAACTGGGGAATCATTTTAGTTTGCTTTTGTTCAAAATAAATTTTTTTTGCCAGACTCTTGGTCTTTGAAAACTTGAGCTGAAGTGTTAATGCTCCAATCCAGCTGTCAGATGATCCTGAATTTAGGTTTCCGAGAGCTGCATTAAGCTTACTGGTGCTGAAAGTAATAGCACTCAGTGCTATTTTCAAAGGACTGTGCTTGTGTGTATTAGTCTTGGTACATGTTCAGGAGCCTCTCTGAGTGTTTTCTTTTATTCTGTGCACTTGAATACCTTCTAGATTTGGCAGATAGCAGGCACGGCAAATATATTGCTATAATACTTTATAAAAATACTGTATTAAGGCACTAAACTGTTTATGACCCAGCAAATCAGGATGTAGAATTACACATTGTTTCTTGCTGTGTGATGTTAGGCAGATCAACAGCTAGTGAAGAAAGGGAAAAGCAAAGTTGGTGACATGTTGGAAAAAGCAGCAGAACTGCTGATGAGCTGTTTTCGAGTCTGTGCCAGCGACACGTAAGTGAAAGATCCTCTATAGAACTTGCACTATTAAATTGTTAAAGAACTTAATAATCTTTCCATAAGATTTTTCCACTTACTAAGATCATATCTGGATAAGAACAAACTCTTCTGAGGATTGTTTCCTCTCATTTATAGTCTGTTCTTTCTTGACTATTAATGACTGCTGGAGAGGCCTCCCTTCGGGTTTAACATTCCTAGCAGATGTTGTTGGGAGGGACTGATTTTGTCCCTGTCTCTCAGGAAAGATCATTAACATTTGTATGCTCTGTTCGGTTGTGAAGTTTGCTTTGTTATGGTTAGATAGACAAGAGGTTACTCTTTGGTTTCCAGTCTTAGCAATTTTAACAATTCCTAAGTAAAGAAAATGCCTTTTTTTTTTTTTTTTTTTAATCTTTCTTTCACCTTGAATATTATAAGCAACTGCCATGCTAGTGTATGTGTTACCTGCAGGCTGGAGTGAGGGCCCTGATGCAGATGAATAGTATTTTGCATGACATCTTTTCATTATGTTGAGAAGAAATGTAGCAGAGCTGTTCAAAATTTAAGGTGGGAACACAAGTTCTGTTTTGACAGTGGTGGTATGGTTTAAGAGAAGGAGTTTGGCCTTGACTTTTATTTTTACCCTAAAAATCTGTAAAATATCTATGGAGGGAATTTACCATAAGGACAGAGTCATTATTTTCTTAAAATGTTCAGTACTAGTAGGTTTTTTCTTTCTTTTTTTTTTATGACAGTCGAGCAGGCATTGAAGATTCCAAAAAGTGGGGCATGTTGTTTCTCGTGAATCAGCTGTTCAAAATTTATTTTAAGGTAGGGTTCAAGTCTAGTAAGCTGTATTTCATAGTCTAAGTCAAACCCACCCTTTTTTATACGATACTTTGTATCTGTGCTTTCTGAACAAAATTGCAATTAATTTTTTTAACAGATCAACAAGCTCCATCTATGTAAGCCCTTAATTAGAGCAATTGACAGCTCAAATCTGAAGGACGAATATAGTATGGCACAGCGCGTTACATACAGATATTACGTTGGACGCAAAGCCATGTTTGACAGTGATTTTAAACAAGGTACTGTGTGCCATTAAGGCAGACCTAAAGTCTTGCTCCTTGGTGTGAAATCTGGCTGATGCCATGTGCGTGTGTGAGACTTGAAATGGTGTAGAAGGTGCAATGTTTGCATTGATCAAAGGCAAAGTCATGCTGAGAGATCCAAGCCCCACAGGCAGAGTCAGATCAAAGATGAGATTACATGACAATTCTAATTGTAGTATATGCCCAGTTTTAAAATGTTTGTGTCAGTGAAGTTCTCTGTAGTCTTACACATTGTGTGCGTGCATAATAAAAGGTATGAGCATCCAAAAGAATAGGTTTGTAAACAGTTTCACAAAGGAGGCTTGGTGACTCCCTTGTCCTTTTCAAGTTGCTGTATGCCATGTAGGAAATCTTCAGCAAACTGTACTGTAGAATTATTTTCTCAGTGCACTGATTTTGGAAGGTGTAGAAACCACACTTCTGAGATTTCTTATTCCTTGATAGAAATGCTTCTAGAGCTAAGGTGTACAACTTTCATCGCTAACCGATGCCCCTGACCAAAATCCATTCTGGAGCCAGGTTTGTTGCTCTGAACAGGGTCTTCTGCCTGTCAGGCTTGTTATTTTTTTCTCTTGGTGAAAACAGATGAGAGATTTTCATGTTATCATGCTGTGTGGTCTCGCTGGCACGTTTCTGCAGCTCAGCAGATGTGCGTGTCGCATGCAGCTTACATCCACTGAAGAACCTAATCTGTGAGTTTGGAAAATAGAGTTCTGTTTCATCAGCATTTCTTGAGATTCTCCCCTCCCATAGTAGTAACACAATAATGTTACTGAAATAAGCTGAAATTCCAATATTGCTTGTAACTGTTACCTTTCACATCTAAACCTTGACAAGTTTTCTTTGACTCTCTGAAGGAAGGACTTGTTTTTCTGGTAATACTTTGTATTTTGTGTGAATCTCCAATAATTCTTACAGCATTTCTCTTAATGTACTTTGGTGTGATTCTTTTTTATATAATTTCAAATATCATGTGTTCAAGCTAGAGGTGGACATTGAGCACAGAATTTGGATTACAATTTTAATCCATTTTTGTTGTTGGCTCATGTTACTAGCACTTTTATTTGTGTCTGCAGCTGAAGAGTATCTGTCATTTGCTTTTGAGCACTGCCACCGCTCAAGCCAGAAGAACAAAAGAATGATTTTGATCTACCTGCTACCAGTAAAAATGTTGTTGGTGAGTAGATCTTACTTTTTAAAATACTTTTGGGGGGTACAGACAACCAAACTGATGCTCAGTATGGTTCTTGTTTTTCCCTTACTGGAATTCAGAGGCTCTCTGAACCTGACCCCCATAAGAGCTAGCATGTGCACACTTTGTGCGAGGACAAAAATTATTGAATTGCCATTTATGCAATATAGGAAAGGAGAAAGGGGGAGGGGGGACACAACAAACAAAACAGCCCCCCTCCTTTCCCCTTACCTTCCTCCCACTCCCCTAAAGGTGCAGCCTGAGGTTACTTCTGTAAGAAAGGTAATTTTGAGCTCTTTGGAGAAGCACTTAACAGTGTGCCTGTCTGGTAATCAGGTGCACAGGTGGGCCAGGGAATGTGTGGGTTCCTTTGTACAAATCTGTCTGCTGCTTTCACGGGGTGAAGGGAAGGAGGCTGTGCTAACAGATGCCTGAAGACTGTTTGGGGAGGGGGAGTTTGCCACAGCAGAGAAAGGATTCCTATCTTTGGGTTTTCTGTTTGCACCTTGTATGCTTGCCCATTCGAGGCATGTCAGGAGGGTCATGAAGTAGAGCATTTTGGTTTTGAACAAGTCAATGAAGTCTGGTTACTATTTGGTCATTTTGTCTTTCTACTAAAAGAATTAAGCACATCTCTGCTTCTTCTTCCTGTCCTTTCCCATGTGCTGTGCTGGCATTTGTGTGTCCCTGAGTTAGTGGGATGATGCTAACAACTCAGTGTAACTGAGGGGACAAGAACTAGATTTTAGTTTCCTCTTCTTGGCCCTGTTACCAAAGTTACCCATGGAGAAGGTTGTTATCACCTGCTTCCGCAAGTTGCCGTCTTCCACCTTTGCCCCAACCTGTTTATGACCATCCTCCCTTTTCCAGTCAGTACTCCTGTTCCAGTCCCTTGCAGTGTCATGTGGGTAAAGGGGAAGCATAGTGGGTATGATAATTGGCTTCTGATTTTCATTTTTTATTTATTGACTTTTTTACGTGTTGCTTTCAGATCACTCGGTGGTAGGGTTGGAAAAGGAAAACTAACAGTCTTCCTAAAAACTTTGTCCCAGTCTTGACTGGGTACGTTAAACTGGTGGGTCCCTTAGTGCCTAGAATTACTGTGGCTTTTCTGGAGCAGCTCTAGTGTACAAGAGACGCTAAAGAAACTAGATAAAGGTCATTGTTTTTACAGTTGCTTTTTTTAATCAGAGCCCAAACATTAACACTAACCTTAAACTGTACTAAAATAGCTTGGATGGGTTTTTTTTATTCCTAGCAGCTCTCAGTAACCATGCAGCCGAGTTCTGCTCTCAGCTAATCCTCCAACCACGAAAGGAGTTACCAACAGCATAGCATGATGGTAACTAAATTTAAAGTCTGACCCAAGTCAGTGTGCAATTTGATCTCTGCTGTGCAGGGGGAAAAAAAGTTTCTTTTTGATAGTGGAGGTGGTTCAGTCTCACCTGATCTAGCAATGAGAATTTTGTTTCTTTAAATTTAAACTTTCGCTTTTTTTGGGGGGAGAGGGTGGGGTGCATTGTGGGTTTTGGGGTTTTTTTGTTTGGTTGGTTGGTTTTTTTGAGATGACATTTTTATTTCTGCACAGAGGCGTAGTGAAGAAAAAGTCTGGTACAGACCGAGCTAGCACTTGACAGTGCTGAAGCACTGCTTGTATTATTAGTAATGCTTGGGATTCCCATGGTTCTTCTGTTTGCAGATTAGATCATGTAGGCATTTGGATCTGCCTAGGTCTGATGTCACAGGATCTTGATTTTACAAGCTTGATAAGTGCTCCCCAACACTGAGAAATATTAAGACTTCCTAAACCATGATAAATAGGTAGTTATTGTGAATTCAGTTACAAGGTGTTTGGCAGGGGTGAGAGGGTTGCCTTACAAATACTTTTATTCCCCTCTTGTTCTGTAGGAAAAAAAAAAAAAGTGATTCAACATTTGTCTTTAACAAATGTTTTTATAGCTTACTAGATTACATTTAAAATGCATTTGACTTTATCCTGGAAAACTTGGAAACTGTTTATTTTTCAGGGCCATATGCCAACAGTTCAGCTCTTAAAAAAGTATGACCTTATGCAGTTTGCTGAAGTAACAAAGGCTGTGAGGTATGATGATCATTTTCTTGCCTTGTGTGCTAGTTCAAAAAGTATTAAGTAAAAGGTTTTTATTTGGGATGATTGAGGAAGGCAGGGGAGGGATATACCAACCAAGTCAGACAATTTCTTTTCTCATTTGGGTGAGACCTTCTCATATTTTCATTTCTTCATCCTTGTAGTGAAGGCAATCTTCTCCTGCTAAATGACGCTCTGACAAAGCATGAAACCTTCTTTATTCGATGTGGAATCTTTCTTATCCTTGAGAAGCTGAAAATCATCACGTACAGAAACCTCTTTAAGAAAGTGTAAGCATAACAAAACGTACATTTTTGCAAAAGCAGATTTAATATGGTTTCACCAAGGACTGAGATAGAAATGTATATGCTCTCTAGTTCTCTCTGAGAGCACTGAATTCCTCTTAAAGTGAATTTATTGTAGAAAGGCCATTTTTCTAAGAACCAGATTTTTTAAGTGATTGTTTCTCAATAACAGATTTTTTTCCTGTTGTTTCTTTCAGGTATTTACTACTCAAAACCCATCAGCTGTCTCTAGATGCCTTTCTGTTTGCCCTGAAATTCATGCAAGTAGATGATGTTGATATTGATGAAGTCCAGTGCATTTTAGCTAACCTTATATATATGGTACGTGCTAACCACTTGTTGTCTGGTCCTTCCAGACTTCAGACAGTAAAAAATATTAGGTAGAGAAGAAAGGTTTGTTACAGAAAACATATCAGTAATTCCAGGTTTTCTTGTGTTTTTTTAAAAAAAAAAGTTGATTCACTTGTGCTCAAAATGTTCTCATGAACTTGTGCTGAAATGTTCTCATTTGCCCTGAGGGCTTCCTCTAGTTCCTGCCTCTTTTGCAGGAATCGGTTAAAATTGAAGTTGAGTTTTACATTACAAATCCAGTACTGACACTTGTATATATGCATAAATACTGTTTTAAAAATACAAAAATTGTAACTGGGACCAAAAGGGATTTGTTCTGCATTTGAAGTAGGAGACTCTTGACGTTCTAACATTAGAAAAAATCAAAACCAGATTTCTTTGGTTTTGCTTCATATCGTGTCTTTTACTCTAAGTGGATTTCAACTACTCGTGAACAGGTAAAGGTGTGAAATCAAGAGATTTCTAATAAATCAGAGGTTTTGGAGCAGCATTGCAGTGTCAGCAAAAAAAATGAATCACTTCTCTGTTTCTGAAACAGATTATTTGGTGTGGTATAGGAGTAACAGAGGGTAGGATTAGGTCACTGGAAGATTTATTTCAATGTTAACCACACTATAACTGAAAAGGAAGTACTATGTCATTTAGTTTATTAGGTATGGAATAGTGATTAATTAAAATCCTAATTTTAAAGGTGAGCAAGAGTAAATTTAGAAAGACTTATGCAGACCTCTGTCTCTTCAAGGAAATGTTAGCAGACTAGTAGGGGCCCTGGCAACGGGCTCTCAGCCTGACAGCGCCATGAGTACACAAACGTGGTTATGGTTCCAACTTTTGGCTTACTCTGTGAGTTGACCCACCTATAGATCCTTACAGATATATAGATATTAAGTACAGCAGTGCAGTTGTGATAGAGTATGCACACATAGCTTTGCTTGATGTAGTCTAGTCTGAGGACAGCTGAGGTTATAGGTGTTGTGTTATCAGCTTCCAGTACTCACACTCTTTTTTTTTTTTTTTTTTTTCCCCCTTCTGCCAGGGTCACATTAAAGGATATATATCTCATCAGCATCAAAAGCTTGTGGTCAGTAAGCAGAACCCATTTCCTCCGCTGTCAACAGTATGTTGAGTATTGCATCTTATCTGTGCAAGTACTTTTCAGATACTCAGCTTGCCCAGTGGAGCTGCTCCTAATTGCCCCAAGAACATTGTAAATGACCTGGTTCATGTCCAGGACTGGAATACCAGGAACTTTGTGGCTCCTTTCCCAGCATGACCAAGGCTGCCAGTGTTAACAAAGTGCATTGGAATGAAATGCTAACTTTTCAATGATAGTTTCCGCAGGCTTTCTAGATCATTCAGAGTATTTCATGAAGAAATAAAGCATTCCAAATTCCTTCCAAACTACTTAAAGCTTTTATAAAGTACTTTGTGTTACTGTTTCTGCTTTTGTCTTTCAGAGAGGAGAAGTATCATCCTTTGTTACTTGCATTAATCTATTCTTCAGAGTGGAAATTGATGTTTTCTTTCATGGTTTCCATTTTTTTTAAGTCTCTTCAATAACCTAGCTGGTATTAAATACTCTCTTCAAGCCTTCTCTTAAAAACTAGAGAAGTCCTTGACACCAAAAGCTTTACTGTGTCAGTGATACTTGCACGTTCAAATAAATGTGGGATTTTTGTCTGTAGGTGCCCACAGATGGGTTGTGGGGTTTTGGTTTTTTTACTTCTGGTAATATTTGGTTTCATTTTTGAACAAAAAGCTTATCTAAGTAACTTATCCATACTCTGTTTTATTCTGCTGTGGGGAAAAACAGTGCCACTGGATCTATTATTTTAAGTGTTACTACCTTGGGCATTTTGTTTGTTTGGGGGTGGTGCAGTGTAACTTTGTTCATAGTGATGGGATGGTAGTTTTGGGGGTTTTTAATTATTTTGAAAGGAAATAAAACTTTTTTTTCCTCTCATTGAGAGTTAGGTTTTATTTTACCTGTTAAGTGATGTGGACATGATTCATAAGAGAAAACACAGGTACCATGTATGAGGGGAAGCATTTTTTAGTGTGATGAGTGTCAAGTCCTATATCAACATAGGCATTTAAATGCTTGGAGGTCCCCTGGTCTTCCTAAGTTTTACTTGTGTGGATGCTGAAATAAGCATATGAATTTGCTGAAGCAAACCTCAGGATAACAGGAATTAAAGACTCATTTCCTTCTAGCAACATTTAAAATCCCAGAAACACATCAACACTTTGTGAGTTTTAGGATGAACAGTTCTAGGAAACTTATAGTTCAATCAGTTTTCAGTAAAATAACTAGGTTTACTGCACCGTGACTTTCACAGTACTGTATGTCAACAGAAGAAGGAAAGACAAATGGGCTTTTCTGTATGAATTGGAGTTATGTCCATAGCATTGTTGCAACTTCCATTGCTGCAGGTCGTGATAGAGTGTCACTTGGGGGCACTGGCTGCATCCAAATGTTTTCTTGCAGTGATTGGCAGGGGTCTGGTGCTGGAGGGTTGGTTGTGTTTGTGTATTACTTCATTTTTTGTTTAAACCATATCATATACCTTGCGGTGTTAGTGAATAGAAATGTTTCCCAGTCAGTGTCTTCTAGTGGCCAAGATCCCAGGATACCAGTCAGAAACCAAGTGCCCTTATACTCAGTAGCTAAAAAGCTTCCTCCAGCCAGTCGTTTGTCTACGGCCTCCTGGAGGTGTCCGCAGAACTGCCTGTTTGTGAGGCTTATGTTGAGTGCTTGCTTGCAGTCCTCACCAGGAAGGTACCTTGAAGCTCATCACCTTCCATTCTCCAGCCACTGACTGTCCCAGCCAATTTTGGAATTAAAATGTGTTCTGCAAAGTCTCTTTCGGGGATGCATACTGGAAGCTGGTGGTTGTTGCACTCGGCATGCTCTTGGAGTTGTAGTAATGCGATGTTGTTCTCACCGGTGTCTTCATCATACCGGATGTGTATGTGTTTCTTGCTAACTTGCATTATCATCCCAGTTCCGCTTGTTCCATTAGGCCCTGTGAGGCAATGACATTTCACTGTTCTTAGAAATAATTTATCAAGAGACCTGAACGCTGCATGCGAACTGACAGCTGCTTAGCAATGCTGAGAAAGAAGTGCATTAGAGAAACTGAAGCCACTCTTTCTTGAAACCGCTGCAGTAAAGGTAAACTAGAAAATGGTATCTTCGCAGCTTTTTAATGCTGTGTAGAAGCACGCATTATTTCAGAGGGAAAGACAGATACCCAACAAGAGAAGAGAATTTTGGGATGGTACAAAAGCCACCTCTAAATCCACCTGGTTTAGCTTATCCTTAGGTGCTGAGTTCTGAATTGCATTTGAGAGGCAGTTGTCTCTCTGCTTGGCTTGGGGGGGGGGGTATAGGGCAGCTGTAGTTCTAGTTCAAGGTGCTTAACTGAGATGCTTAAATGAGATGATGGCAAATTTGTTTCCTTTAACAATATTTTTTGTGCAGCAAAAATTTTAGTAAGCTTTTTTTAAAAAGTTAGTTTGTCAATACTAAAATGTGCTACGAGAGAGAATGTTTGATCACCTACCACCACCAACCCTGATTTCAAACTGGCTGTGCAGAAGGGCACACTCTGCTGTAGTCAATACAAAATTACTTTTTAGCAGCACTCCTCCACAGAAGCCTTTCCCTTCTGAGTTTAGCAGCAGAACCTAAGAAAATGCAAAAAGACAACAGCTAGCACTGTCCATGTGAGGTTGAGTGATGGCTTTCATGAATTGCTAGAAATACCTGCCAAGGAAATTGCTCCTCACGTTTCTTCCTGGTTTCGCGTCTCAGATTATTGCTGTCTTGAAGTCTGCCACATGCACATTGATCTACCAAATGAATTTAAAAAAATTCAAAACCTTATGCTGTATCATTTCAAAACAACTACTACCTGCAAATATCTTACTGTTTCCACCTTGACTTTGGGGTTTTGGTTTTGCACCAATGAAAAGGAGAAATACAATTTCTTAACTGGTGAAAACTGGAATAATTTGCTTGGCATCTGTAGTCTAACAGCTTAGTGATGGCACTGAACATTTTGAGTCATTCCATTAGGCTTGTGGTGACCAGATTTCAGTGTGTCTGTGACTAGTGAAATGAGGCTTCCTCTCCAGCCAACCATCAGCACAGCTTGATTCCTCATCTCTGTATCCTGTATCTGAATTGTGCCAAATACCTGATAGCTGTGGCCTAATCTGGACAAGGTAAACCCTGGGTTTTCCTTGTTAAAGCTGTTACTCTAGGGATGCACGTGTCTTTTTGTTCTGGTTCAGACAGCAAGCATGCTTTTCAAGTGGATGCCCCAGTTACCTGCATTTATCACACTTTCTGTTCCCCTTGTGGCATGGGCTTGGGTCACACGACACAAACTGGATTCTCTTCAGGTGAAGCTAAACCAGAAGACACCCTCTGGGAGCACACGTAATGTACACTCATAGCTAGTGGGTGCTTGGTCTGCAGGACCAAACTAGAGCTAGTCTGAAGTAAAGCCCACCTGAAATGTCCATTGAGTGTGAACATCAAGCCCTCATTACTGAAAGTGTGGCTCTACAGCTGAACTCCTGTTAGGCTGCCCTGCTTGCTAACATAGACAAGGGCCTAAGTATGCTACTGTGGTTTTAGTAGACCTAGTCTATAAGGGGATGAGATTGAAAAAATGAAGAGGGTTACTGCTTCAAATTAATATGGCGGCAAGTGTCGCCCTTCATTTATCAGACCATCAGGTGCCTGATCTGAATCAATCTAACCTCATGCACAAAAAGACAGGTCTTCAGTGGAGTTAGTCTTTACCGAGCTCAGGAGTGGAAAACCTGGCCCAGTGAGTGATAGTCCTCTCTGCAGACCTGCATTTAAATGTTCAGATCAAATATTGTTTCTTTTACTGCTCCTCTGGCATCTTAGGTGGTGGTCCCTACATTCCTCCTTTTTCTGCCCAGTTTGGAAGATCAGTAATATTGTCATCGCTTGAGTCTCCAAGCAGACTGATCGCATCTGGCTATCAGATGGTGACTTGCCCACCCCAGCACTGAGCACGTGCCCCCTGTACTTCCATGCTCACACCTACCTAATGCGATGCACTGTTTCTTGTCCTTCCCGAGCTCATAGCCATCAGCACAGGAACAACGGTAGGAATTGCTTCCTGGGTAGCAGAAGTGGTGACATCCTTCTGTTGCTTGGTGGCGACATTCATTTTTAGCTGAACAGAACAAGCAGAGGAAGAGTACTGGGAACAGGCAGAGGAAAAGCATTGGGAGCAACCCAACCAAAGGAAGGGATCTGGGGGTGCTGGTCGACAGCAGCCCAATATGACCCAGCAGTGTGCCCTGGCAGCCAAGAGGGCAACCTGCATCCCGAGGTGCATCAAACACAGCGTAACCAGCCGGTCAAAAGTGGTGATTATCCTGCTGTATTCAGCGTCAGTGCGGCCTCGCCTGGAGTACTGTGTGTAGTTCTGGGCCACAACATTTAAGAAGGATATGAAGGTCCTTGAATGCATCCAGGGGAGAGCAACAAAGCTGGTAAAGGGTCTGTAAGTAATGTTCTGTGAGGAGTGGCTAAGTACTTTGGTATGTCTAGTTTGGAGAAGAGGTGGCTGACGGGCAACCTCATTGCTCTCTATAGCTTCCTGAGGCAGGGAAGCAGAGAGGGAGGTGCTGATGTCCCTGGGATCTAGTAACAGGACATGTGGGAATGGCTTAAAGTTGCACCAGGGGAGGTTTAGACTAGACATGAGGAAGCATTTTTTTACCAAGAGGGTGCTCAAACACTGGAAGAGGCTTCCTAGAGAGGTGGTCCATGCCCCAAGCCTGCCAGTGTTTAAGAGGCTTTTGGACAGTGCCCTTAATACCGTGCGTTAACTTTTGGTCAGCCCTGAAGTGCTCAGGCAGTTGGACTAGATGATCCTTGTAGGTCCCCTCCAAATGAAATACTTCAGTTCAGCTGCAATCTTCTTTCATAGATTGAGTCCTCTTTATTAAGCATTTTATGTTTACTCACTTTGTGTGAAGGTGGGCAGGGGCTCTGGCTTGGTTGTGTTTCCCACCACATTGGTTTTCCCCTTGCTAAGCAGAAATTGGAGACAGCTGAGTCTCTGCAGCTTCCATGGACTTGTTGCAAACTGTGCTCACCCAGTTCCTCCCTGCACCAGACTGCCTGCACCTCTGAGTTCTGGGGAGTGTAAGCAGTGAAGGATCAAACTAGGCCTTCTATGTGAACCCATGACAGGATGCCATGGGTTTTCTTTTTGCTCTCTTAGAACGCTAAGTATCTGCAGCGAGGAGAACTGCTAAGAAGGCAGGTATTGCTTGAGGAAGAAAAAGGCTAATGGTTTCTGCTTGTCAGCAAAAACAAATGCATAGGTCTTACTTCTCATGCTTGTGCTAGGAAAATTAAAATTAACAGCTGCCAAAGAAAAGAAAAAAAGAAAGTGAGTATTAATCACCTTTGAAACATGCTCAGTCAACTTTCCATAGCTGAGCAAACACCAGCTTCATCACAGAGCAACAGGAGGAACAGCCATTTGATGATGGATCTAGCCCACAGATGGAGAAGTAGCAAAAAAACCCCACATGAAGTGGATCTCTAAGGCCATGCGGAACCGATCTGGCTCCCAGCACTGATCCAAGCAGTGTCACCACCTGTGCTCCCCAAGAAGCTGGTCTGTCTTTCTCCAGTCACACCCCTTATACAGAAAATGACCCTGCCTTGCGGCAGCCAGGGCGTCTCCTGCCCCAGGGGACCTCTGAGCCAGCAGAAATGCTGATGTAAGGGCTGGAAAGTAGAACACGGCAGATGTAAAAATGTAGGCTCCAGCCCAGGGAGTTTTACGTGCCAGAAAGCATCCGTTTTGCTTTACGCCTTTTACACTTCCGCTGAAAACAGTTTTGTTTTCTGTCCTGAGGGGCTGTCTTGTGGGTGCGTGTGGCCTTGGAGGCACCGGGGTGTCTGGGAAGCCACCCCAGCACCGCGGCCCTGGTCCTTCAGGCCCAGCAGGAGGTCAAGCAGCTGGGACCATGGAGCGCACCGTGAGGGAGACTTGCTTCAGACCTTTTGCTGCATGCCCAGAGAAGGGAGGCTCAGTGGGAAGAGGCAGCCAGTGTAACCTCGGGATGCTGTAACGTTTCAGTAGACAGGCAGCACGCATCACTTCTGCTCTGCCAAGAACTGTGTCTTTTAACCTAAAAACTGAGAACTGGCTGTAATGAGAGAGCTGCGTATGGTTTCCCAGGGACCCGTTATGGGAGGAGGACATAGGGCTTCTAAGAAGAGGGGCTGATGCCTTACCGAAAGCACAGTTCTCTCCCTCGTAGCCCTCGGCACAGGTGCAGATGTAGCCGCGGATGCTGTCCTCGCACACGCCGTTGTGCTGGCAGGGGCTTGATGAGCATCTCCTGCCGCCTGCAGAAACGCCGCAAGGGAGGGACGAGTCACCACCACCGCCGACCGAAATCACGCAGCCTGCTTCCCAGCATGCGAGGTGCTTGAAGAAGCATCGTGAAAAGCAGTTTGGAAGGAAATGGGCTACGTCTCACCAAACTGCTCCTCAGGAGTAATTTTATCTCCTCAGGAGTAATTCTAGCCCAAGTCTGCTTCCAGAGGTGCTCCTGCAGCCCCTGGCAGGCAGGCCAGGAGGTGCCCAGAGGCAGAGCCCATTTCTGGAGGATGGATGCCCTCCTTCAGGGAAAAGCACTGACTTACAGTTCATGTGCTTGTTACGAGTGTAATTATGAGACTGGTGGTTTAGGTCTCCATATTAGGTTGATATGCACTGGATTAAAAAAGCTGGCATCAAAATCATACAGTAAGCAACATCAAACTAGGAAGAAATCTATCCTTTACACATCTGTACAATTATTACAGAGCAGCTCAGACACTAGCAAGCTTGGTCTTTCTGATAAACTGAACATTGAAACCAGAGGATGCCCTCACTACAGATGAAACACCAGACAGAGCTGCCGTTTCCCTTCAAGCCACCCACTGGAAAGACTCCAAACCAGTTCGGAAACCTTCTCCAAATAACAACTGCTTATTGTAGACAGGAGCAATCAGGGAGCATGCCAGAAAAGCCTAACCTGGGACGTGCTCTCCAACCTTTCTAAAATTTAAAATTTCATCGCAGAGGTTAACTTCAGTCAGCAGCTGCTGTAATTGATATCAGGGACAGAAAGGTGAAAACTCTGTCTGGTACTGGGGAAAAAAAACCCCACCAACCACTGTCTGCTCAGGCTATGGGCACGTGTATCTTTGAGTGTTAGTATGCTAAAATACTGGCTACCAGAGGTCTAGAAAATGAGACTTTGAAAGATAGGATGAAAAAATGGGTTTATTTAGTGAGGAGGAAAAAAGCCATGGAGATGCACGGCAACACTCTTCAAAATGTTAGAAAAGATATCACAAAGAAGGAAATACATGCTGCTGTTCTGTAGGAAGAAGACAGACACAATGGCTTGTAATTACTGCAAGGAAGCCACCCCTGAGGCCAAAGCCAGTACTGCGTCCTGATTAGGGCTAAGCTTGTTTGGATGGACCCTCCTCAACTGGTTGCCCTTCTTTCTTCATAGACTAAAGAGAAAGCCTGCATGACACACTTAGTACAAACATCCAGTGACTGAAATTAGGAGAAGTTAATCCCACCCTCACAGAAGTAATGAAAGGCCAGATATTTAGCATGATTCTTCATAAAATTTATATCACTTGTGGGATTCTTCTATTTAACGGTTCCCTGGACTCAGTGTTTTAGTGGCTTCTGCAGAAAATTAATACTAACTAACTGCTGATTTTGCCACCTCCTTATCCACTGTCTAAACCTAAGATTAGAAACTAATAAAAGCTAAGTTAAAAACCAGAGAAAACCTTAGGGTGAGGCATGCAGAAAAGAGGGAAGGAACAAGGCATTTTCACCATAAGCTGGTGCCCCAGGCTCCTTGTTCAGGAGGCATCTAGTTACGTCAGCTTTTACAGATTCGTTTCTTGCCTTGAAGGCTGCCAAGGGATGATGCAGTGCCAGCATCCAGAGTCTGCAAACAGCCCAGTAGCTTTTAACACCTATTTAGCTCAGGCTTAAGTGCTACATTTGTATTTGGGAGATTTTGCTGGTAAACCTGTGCTGCTCTATTGTATCAGCAAAGTGGACTTTCTCAGGTCTCAGGTTGTTTCAGAACAGCCTTAAGGTGAGGAAAAGCAATGATAACATCTACTCACCTTCAACTTTTATTCGCTTTGCAGTCTTAAATGTTTTTTCCTCTTTATTACTTTTTTAGAACTTTCACATCAATACTTTTCCTCCTCTTTACTAGAGACATGACAAATAGCGACTCAGTGTTTCTTGTAGGATAAACTGCTAAAAACTCTCAGCAAACCACCATCAGACTGAATCATAATGTTCATAGTGTGATACCGCTATAAAGGAGAGAAATCAAGAGGCCACCTTACCATAGTAGGCATCCCAAAACATTTGCTGGGGAAAAAAAAAGGGAAATTATATTTTAATTCTCAAATAATATAATCTTCCATAAATATTTTGGTAAAACAAAAGCATTATATGAGAGAATATATACTACGGTTTAACATTTCTGCAGTTGCATAACTGCGGATTCTGCCTTGCCTGCAAAATTTGAACAACATGAGATGGGAGGGGGTGTGCATCCTGCTTATTTTATTGTTTCTTAAAAAGCTGTAGAGGAAAAGAAACACTTTGTAGGCAAGAGAGAAACAACTGAATTCTTTAGCAATAAGGCTTCCTGGAAAAACTGGCCAGCCATTGCCTGTCCGGCATGCAGCGCCCTGGGAAGTGACCTTGTCCTGTCCCGTCCCGTCCTGTCCCGCTTGGGCCCCGGCAGGTGCTGCTGGACGCCGAGGGGACAGCAGGGAGTGGAGCTGCAGGTCACTAACACTGGTCACCACCTTCACGTGCCCCGCTTTTCCCTGGGTACTGCCGCCAGCTCTGCCGCTGCTTCCCCCAAGGGGACACCTCTCCCTGCTCCTTGTACTTCCCCTCCATCAACTTTCCCCGCAGCCCGTGGGCAGCCCGATGGCTGTTTCCTCTGCTTTCCCTGCAAAAGCAATCTCCGGCCAGATTCCCATTAAAGAGCACAGCATCCGGCTGAGCGTGTCAGGAGGGCCTCTTGTACAAGGGAACACACAGCCGCTGACCAAGTGAGGCTCTTTCTATAGGTCCCACCACTTGCTGGACATTGCTTCCCTCCATCCCAACACCCCCTTGCACCTCCTGGTCCCTAAGGGATGCCTAAGCTGTATTTCTCCGTGTGTGGTCAGGATGGGACAACAGCCATGTACTTTCACAACATAAGGCACGGGTGTGGGGTGCCGGACTTATCCAGGCTT